TGTTTCTCAGGTATCCATCCTGCTGAGCAAAAAAAGGTGGTTTTCCTTTTGAAACAGGCCCTGGTGAAACTTCTCATTTGAAGAAAAGGACTTCCACTTTTCTTTAGTTGAAAAATATCTTAAGATCTTGCAATGAAAAACAGCCAGAGATCACATCTCCTAATAAAGCATTAATAGCACGAGCACAGGCTGTCACACATAAACACCATTCTAGCATTAAACATCCATTCTCCAGTCCTAGCTGGTCAGCATGGACATGATTCCTCTACAGAAGCACAATGTGATTCCTGGTTCTCAGAATTACCAGCTTTTTAATTCCTCACTGCAGAGCCTACATTCCGCAGCATATCCTTTTCTTGTCTAAATGAGTTTGGTTAAGGACACTCCATTACAGCAACTAATTAAAAACATAATTATAACTTTCAGCCATGATAAAATTTACCATTTTCATTTAGCTTTTAAAAAAGGATTTGTTTTGTTGATAGAGAGAACAAGAATCATTATCTACTTTATTTCACAAAATAGCCATGGAAAGTTTTTATATATGAAATCTTAAATACCAGCACTTTGTGCATAAATTCATATGCATAGACACACTAAAGAAGGGAACACAAGCTAGTACTATCATCTCAAGTGTCAATTTTGGAAGTAGTATTTTGGATTATGCTCTTAGCTAAGGCAGACTTTGCATCCACCCTCCTCCAACTGCTCCTTCGATAACACATACACTCATTCAAAATATATAGAGAAAAATACTAGGGAATTTTTAATCATGGCTAGAAGAACCTCTTTTTAAAGCAGGCTGGAGGAAGGAGCATACAGGCATTAATTTTTCTAAAGTTACTCAGTACTTGAATTTGCTCTGGGGTAGGGGAATTATCTAGCACAGACTTGCCTCTGCCTAATTAACAATGCATGAATGGAATGTCCAAACAGCTATGAGCAGATATGTTGCATAAGCATAATAAATTAAATAAAAGGTAAAACATGTTATCTTCCATTCTTTTATCGCAGGTAGTTATTCCCTATCAAGAAGTGGCAGAAGCAGCTGTGCTAATGGCCTTAACTGTACTTTAACTTAAACAAGGTATAGATTCACATGGTTATTGCTAATGAAAATACATTATTTAACATTAATTTAATCACATAGCTTTCATATACATTCTCACAACATCCCCATGACAAAGATGAAGGTTTACCATTATTCTTCCCCTTTGTATACATTAGGATTGATACAAATAAATTTGTGGCATTTACTTGTTCAAAACATAGACAACCTACGTGACATGAATAAAACTGAGATTTATAATGCAAAGCGTACACCTGTAAATGGAATGGAACCCGTGCAACTTTAAACACTGCAGCTATATTTGTTAGGACAATAAATAGGTAAAAGAAAAAATTCCCATGATGTTTAAAAAAAAAAAAGGCAAGCAGGTTATTTCATCTGTGACTCCAATCCAGGCTTTTAGAATCATTATGCTATGTTGTGATTTAGGCCTGATTGGCAGACAACCACAATGCAGCAGCTCTCTCTCCCTTCCCCTCCGGCAATGAGAAGGGACAGAGCCAGGCTTGGGGTTCAAGATAGGACTGGGATGGGGAAAAATCCCCCTTTTATGATCACAAGCAAAAGGCAGACTCGTTAGGGGAAGAAAAAAAAAGAACATACATTTATTACAGACACTAACAACACATAACAGAGTAGGACAGTGAGAAGCATTGCCACATCTTGAGAACACCTTCTCCCCACCCCTCCCTTCTTCCCAGGCTCAGCTCTGCTCCCGATATCTCTACCTCCTCCCCCAGTGGCGCAGGGGCAGGGAATGGGGGGTGCAGTCAGTGCTGCCTCTTCTTCCATCTTTGGTGGAGGGAGCTTCTGGAACTTGTTCCCCCTACTCCATCGTGGTCCCCCTCTCACAGGAGACAGTCCTCCACAAACTTTCTCCGACTTGAATTCCCCCCATGGGCCGCAGCGTTCCCCACACTGCTCCGTCATGGGTCACTAACTTCCCCTGACTGGATTCCCTCCCACGGCTGCAGCCCTTCCCGAGCTGCTCTGGTGTGGGACTCCCCCGCATGCTGCAATCCTCCCAGCGCTGAATTACAGCAGCGGGGCTACCTTTTCCCATGAGACCCTGGCCTTCTTCAGGCACAGCACCTTGATCATCTGAGCAGGAGCAACAGGCCACAAATCAATGTCTGCTCCACCGTAGATCTTCATAGGTGGCAGGGGGGGCCGCCCTGCCATCTCACCACAGGATACAGGGGGGTCTCTCCTCCGGCACACCTCCCCCCTCCTTTCTTCCTCCGTTCCTCCACTGACCTTGGTGTTCATGCAGCTGTAGCAACTCCTCCTCACAAGTCCCACTGCTCGTCACCACGTCCCTTCTTAAATACGTCATCGCAGAGGCGCAGCCGATTGACTCAATTTCCCAAACAGAAGTGGAGCTGACATGGAGCTGGGGGAGCTTCGAGAAGCTTCTCACAGGGGGCCGCCCTGATAGCCCCCTCCCCTGCCACCAAAAAAACTCCACCACTCACTCAACCCAGGACATGCTAAAACTAAAAATATTTTTTTATGATGTATGAAAGGGTCCTGCCCCTAGGACACAGCAGGAGCTTCATCTTCACTACAAACCACAGTAACTCACCCATGCACCCACTGTGTGAAGGCACTGGCGAGTGCTGCTCATCCCTTCTGAGCAGACACCAGGGGTGGCCAGTGTATATGCATGCCAAAAACCCCTCAACCATTACAAAAAAATCCTGTATGTTTCCTTCATTTGTTATCTGTATTTGCAGTCATACTTGGACCTAAAACCTCATTTATTTTCCACTTGCAAAATGGCTCATCAGAATTATATAGAAAGTGAACTAAAGTGTATTTCAGTGTGATTAATAAAAATTATCTTCTGATATACCCTTTATTAATATGTTTTTTAAGAGAGTTAGCAATGGTAAAGTGAAAAAATATACAAGTTCCAATACGTCAGACAAAGCTTTTTGAGATGACAGTCAAAGCATCCACTGACAGAAGATCAGGTAGAGCAGAACCTCAATTTATGTTAAATAAATCTAACCTCAGCCTATTAAGGAGTGACATGTCTGAAAATAAGAACACGACACACATAGTTGTACATGTCACAAGGAGCTTTGCAGAGAAAGAACCTGAGTGCTGGAATTGTACTGAACTACATCACCCTGAATTTTTGTCAGAGTATCCCACACACACTGACATGCTACACAAAGTTGGAGCAGTTGCCGCAATTATTAGCTGTCTTTGAAAAACAGCAGCCCCTGCTCGAGTGGAAATATTGATTCCTTAGGGATGACTCTTCCCCCACAGCACTACATTGCTTTGGAAATGGATTATCCAATTGAGACAGTTTCACAGTAACTGCCACTAAACAAAACAGAGCTAAATTCAGGGTCCTGGCCACATGGATTAGGACAACGACAGGAGAAGCATTTTTGCCAACAATAACCTCAGAGATATCTCAGAGCATAAATAAAACCGTCAATAATGCTGGCCAAAAATCTAACCCATTAACAGCTGATTTCACAGCTTTCTGATTCTCTCACATGCCCCATTTCCTAGGTAGTACTTAGTAACAGATATCTATCTGTGGCAATGTCTAATCTAGAAAGCAGTTTTGATCTAGGATGGCAATTCCAAAATTTCTAAAGAGTTATGGCTGAACAAAACTAAGATAAATTCTCTTTCATACTTAAATGGCTTCATATAGGTATAAGTTCTGCATGAACAATAAGTAAAATGTCCTATAAACAATCATGCCTATTATTTATATATATTAATATATACATATATCAAAGTATATAATAGAGTATAAGTCCATAAGTAATAATGTCTTCTATAAGGGAGAGATCAAAAATATATGGGAAAGTAACTATCTATACAAACTATATTAGCGACTTCACTGAAATAAGAACAGCTGTATCCGGTTCAAACACGGGTCTCCTTAACCCATGTCTCCATAAGCTTGTGCTTTGGAATGATCAGAACAAGCACACAATACTTCTCCTAAGAAGTCTTCCAGCATCCAACTGTCAAAAGCCAAATCCTTTGAAGACTTAAAATACACAACAACAAGCACTACACAAAGGTGTGTTTACAGGAAATCAATCAGGAAAAGAAAATAGACACATGTAATATTCTGTTAGAGAGAGCATAAGTGCAGAAGGCAATTACACGGTATTTTTGTAGATCATAGCTTTGTGCCCCCTGAAACTTGGGTTACACCAGTAGTGGTCATACAGCTACCAGCATAGAGCAGGCACAGGGCACCGAGTGCTACCTTTACAGAACCAGCTCCATAGTCCAGCATACATAATACTCTTCCCTAAATCTCTGTGCTCTGACCACACAGAGGTTCGGATGTGCATGCTTCCTCTCTGCTTCCCAGGGGAATGCACGCTGGCTAGAGAACAGCATCAGAAGAAGGTCCTTCAGCTACAGCCCTCAGCAGACATTGCCCAGATTAAGTATGCTTGGTGGAAGCAGCACACGCACTAACAGAAAACAACTCGCCCCTCTCTGTCCTTTCAATTCAGACTCCAAATCTGTCTGAGCACTTGAGACACTAGCCCAAATATCCTGCCTGGGTCACAGGCTTCACTTGTTTTTTCTCTACAGGGCACCATATGCATGAACACTTGAGACTGCCAAAGCACACAATGAAGGTGCAATGATACAGTCCACACAGTGTTTCCTTAGAAAACAGGTATTTGAAGACTTGGACTGTAAGGACCCATCACTCCCCAGGTTTCTTCCCGTCATGCTCTTGCAACACCAGCAAACAAGGTCCAAGAACAAGATGGTGTAGATGACAGGAGCTCATGTTTCAGCAAAATACCACTGGGACCAAGTCTTAAGGTGATATGGGAAAATGGAGTGTTAGGGAGGTAAAAACACTTTGGGAAATATAACCAAATCGTTACAGAAAAATTAACTTTAAACCCCAAACTATTTTTATTACCTTCTGGTGGTGGGGGAGGGAATTCCTCTGTGTCCATCCTAGTATATCCACCGCACCTTTAGCAGACTGAAATACCCTGCAAAAATGAAGGGAACATGTTTTGTAGATGAACATAACCTCCAAATATTGAGACACTCCTTTTCAATTTGGCCAAGCTCATACCTATTAGCTAATATCATTAGGGAAGAGAGGAAATGTGCCTGGCTTCTTGCTTCAAAATACATCTAGTCCAAATTTTTATGTACACAGACCTCAATATTGGAGCCAATTCTTTTAATGCTCTCAATAAGCCAGCTGAAAAAAAGATGAAGTTTTCAAACTATTTGGTACTCTGCAGCTCCCACTGTGACAATCACAAGCAGATTACTAAAACATGTTATTTCAATTCCTGTTTGGAGTATATATTCTGTTTCAAAATCTTCACGAAGAGGAGATGGATAAAAATTCTAGAAAGCTCATCTGTTTTGATAATGCTTTATTTGGCAATCAGAAATCACAAGTTTTAATTAGACACTTTATACACAGCTGCTTCATTTCTTTCCTTTTTTTTTTTTGTAATCTTGAGAAGTCCACTTGAGCCCCTTTTCCTTCCACCTCTTCTGAGAAGAGTGAAGTGCCAACAAGCAGTCTTCTGAGTGTCTTCTCTTTCCTCCTCTTTTGTCAAATACCACCGATCTCATGTATTAAGGAAAAGACTAAACCTACAAAGTATTCCCATACTTTGGTCCTGTATACACACTGGGGGAGAGCAAAGCCCAGAATCTGCCAGAGAAAATTTCCCTTCGTCCCTGTAACAGTACTTAACAGTGATATTCCAGTATCATCTGGAAGGAAAAACTGGACCTGTCGGGGACACTCTGCCCCAAAATGATTTTCACTCTAACTCAAAAGACAGCATGTCAGAAAGATAGAAATCAGAACAAGGCTGAGGAGGAAAAGTATGTTTCCAAAAGCCACACAAGACAGTGGAAGAGCCAATACTGAATTTTCTGTCCTACTCTTGAGTAGCCCATAGATATTAATCTCAAGAAGCTACCATTTCTGCTGGCAACAGCACACAAAACAGCTCAAGCCCTTGGAAAGTCTCCATAGCTGAAGTATGAAAAGAGTAAGTTCCCTTTTAAATCTTCTTAAATTTTGGTAATTTTTAATCAAATCCTAGACAAAACCAAGTAGCTTCAGAGCCAAGGCTCAGAAAAGATTCATCCACGTATACAGCGTAATTCCCTAACACAGAAAATGATCCATTACATGCTTTCACCATACAGTGTCCCTTCTAAAGCCTCTTTTTATAATTTATAGCTGCAGAGCTCAAAGGCGTGTTCCTGCTTACAAATGTCTGGAATGCATCTTGCCACACCAAAATTATCCGCCAAAATGAGAGAAAGTTATGTTTTGAAGAAAAGGCTATTTTTCTTTATTTTTTCAAAGTTGATTCACCACTGGAACATAGAGTTTCAAGTGTGAAACATGCAATAACTGGCAGACCACTGAAAGTTAGTCTCTTTCAAGTACATCTTTAAGGGAGTAACTAACAGGCTTTCAGAATACCTTTTTTATTATTATTATTTAAGCATATGATGGATGAATTTAAAACACCTGTGGAAGTTAACTTCAATAACGATTTTTAAAATCAGTTTCTTCCTCAAGCAAATACTAACAACATGCAAAATTGAGCTATGGACATTTTCAGCTTGTTTTCCACTTTGATATATCTTAGTGACATACTTCAAATTGCACAAGAATTGTGATGAGGAAGGACACAGACCCAGTGTTAGAGTCCTAGCCACTGACCTGCTTGCTCTCATCTGAACACTGCAGTTATTCACAAGAAGAAAGATACACTTTCTCACTTAAGCATGCCTTAGGGGTTGACTGATACATTGCATTAATTCATCTGGAAGTTCTACAGATTTTTCTCTACTTTTTAGGTGCTGAGAAAAAACATTGCAGCAGCAAAGCGAGCTTGTGTATGTATTGTACATTCTTGTAATACCCTCCATAAAAATAAAATAATTGCCATTTTATGTAGCAGATGGCACATTCACAAACAATCTCTAACTGCACCATATTTCAAAGAGAAGTTTTTCACTCTTCTATTGAGAGGCAGGGGAACTAACTCAAGTCAAAGATGTTTAAATCCAGATTAAGTCAGATGATTTAATTTGACTAGCAGCATATGGCACAGTTTGTGTTTGTAGCTCAAGCGGTTTCCCCATTGGTTCTGCTGTTAACAGTTATACACCACACAGCTGTACAGGTGCATTCAAAAAATACTTGTGGAAATCACAGCTCAAATTAAGCTGAAAGGAACCTCTGAATGTTCCCTCACACACTCAGGACAGGCGTCTTCAAAATTAGATCAGGTTGCTCAGGGCCTTTCCCACCCAAGTTCTGAAACCCCTGCAAGGTGGAGGTTTCACGACCTCCTGGGTAGGCAGCCAGTCTGGGAATTTTTCCCTTAAGCCCAACTGGAATTACCCTTGCAGCATTTTGCAGCCATTGCCTCTCATTCTCCTGATGGGCACCTCTGAAAAAAGCCTGGCTCCATCTTCTTTCCAACACCGTCTCAGGGAGCAGAGGACTGCAATTCAATCCCCCTTCAGTTCTTTCTTCTCAAAATGACACAAATGCAGTTCTCTCAGCCTCTCCTGACCTGTTCCCACCCCCAACCATAGCAGTGGCCTCCGCTGGACTCGCTCCACTTTGCCAGTCCCTCACTTGTGCTGAGGCCCCACACTGAACGCTGAATTCCAGATGCAACATCATGACCACTGAGTAGACGTTACTTAGTTTAACATTACATTATTTAAGAAATTGAACAGCTATGTGCTTTTAAGACACAGAATACTAAAATTGTTCCAAACGTATTTAAAAACTGCAAATAGAATATTTTAATAGTAGAATAGAAAATAATCTATTAAACATGAAAGACATGAGCTATTATATTCATGTGTATGGCATTATAAAATTATGAATCTGAATAACTGAACAACTGCCCTGACATAAAAATGCTGAGCTTTTTTTCCATAGAGAATTGATTTCTCAAATGTAGTATAACCTCTGCTTAATGACTCAAACCACTCCTTTCCAGGCTCCACAGCAATCACAGAAATGCAGGAACAGAAAGAAGCTCCTGAAGTTACTTAGCCCAAAGTTTAAGATTTCCCATGGGCTTCCAGACACCAGTTCAAGTTGCTTGACTCAGCGTTCATCACGTTCTTTGCTTCAGATGCTGGTAGAGGTATCTATCAGTGGCTGGTGCAGACTACAGTGGTGGTCTGCAGACTGTCTCCTTTCCACCTCTTCCCCCACATTTCCCCTGCATACCCAACGCACAGCAGAGGCAGGGAGAGAGGCCAAGGAGCACCCAGACACTTTTACAAAAGGCAGGTGACCCACTCCGGCCAAAAGACTGGCCCTCACTTCCCCTGTCTGCTTCCTGCTGTTTTCACCTGGTCCTTTCTTGTCAAACTGTTAGGAGGAACAGGTATCCCCTACTCATATTTACAAACTGGAAGAGGAAAGGCAGCTTTCCAACTCTAAGTTCCCAGTTTAACTGTCCACTTACAACAGGTTAATCACTGAACTAATCTATCTGAGCAAATCCCAAATATTCCATGTCTGAGACTACTGATGTTAAAAAAAAAAAAAAAAATATTTGTAGCAAGGTAAAATGCTTTTATTCCAGCCATTTAGCCAGTAATTTGTTAAGTTTGTCTATAAAAATCAGCAATAGCCATGTTAAATGCATGCATTTGAAAAAAAAAAAAAAATATCAGATTCCTTAATACACTGCAATATATTCAGCTCCTCGGCAAGTTTGTAATGATTTCTAAATTTTAAATTAATATTTAAGAAAATAATAATTAAAATACCACATTAAAATCTGATGTTCCTGGGCAAGTTTCTCAGGCAGAGAAGTCCCACACAGTCAAAGGAGTCAGATCTCAAATGGCACTCAAATCAGAAACCAGAATTGGCCAACCATGAAATGATCCCCAAGGAAGCCTCCCAACACTTATTCCAAATTCTCCACTAAGAGCACTCACCTTTGACCACAAGAGCTGGTATGGATGGAAATGGGAGTCTGCAGTGCTCTCCCGGGCATTGCAGACCTTACAGTCTCAGAGTGCTACCACCTGGAGAATAGAGGCTGGTGGCCTGGCATCTGTGAGACTGAAACTCTGATTCCACAGCAAATGGCAGTTTTAGCAAATAAAAGAAAGGCACCGTTATACTTGTCCGAAGACTACAGAATAAAGTCAATGTTCCTGTCTGTGATTCAGTTTCCCCTCTCATTACCTCTGGTAACTCCTTCTGCCTCCAGGACTGGGTTTCTCAGCTACAGCTACGCATCAGATGTGGTCTGATAGTTTCCTCTAATTGTGAAATGAACAACAGACCACCAGATCTCAGCTACAGGGATACAAATACTGATCAACATCTGCATTTCCACTTCTCTGAAACTATTTTCCCAAAGTCATTACTTGTACAATAGTCAGTAGGTAATAGAAACAGGACTAATACAAACTCCACCAAAACTGAGGCAGCACAGCGGTTCAGACCTGGTGGAAAAAGTACCTATACACTGAGCTCCAAAAGGGCGCATGCTGTCAAGTTTTCCAACTCTATCACCCTAAAAACTGTAAAGGCAACATACCTTCTCTTTAAGAAGGAATGCTCACTGTAACTGCAGTGACATCAGGATTCTTCGTTCTTAACACTGCAGAAAGAATGAGCCAGTGAGCATTTTTTAATAGAAAACAGAAAAGATGAAGCAAGGAGACTGATTTCCAAGGAACTGTGACTCATGGAAAAAGCTTAGTGAAGGCAAGCTGCAAAGTAATTTCTCTGAGACAGCCTGAAAACCTAAAAATTAAATAAGATAAAAAAACAACGGTGAAGTCAAAGCCCATGAATGTCTAAAATCCTCATGTCCACGTCACTTACTGAATATTGCTGTGTAATGCCCAATTGAGTCTTCTTCCACCTATAACTACAGAATTCTTGCTGGGAAGTAAATCTTGCTGAAATTTGATATATAGGCTCTTTCGGGGGTGCAGAGAAGCAAGG